GAGAAAATGAATGGCGCCCCACCCTGCCAGCAGCACTTAACCGAGACTGAGTAATTAATCCTCTGTCTTTCTTATCTGGTCCTCTCAGATTTTGTTACTTTTGGCCGAAGAAGATTCAAAGACATGTGATATCCAGAGTAAGTTACAGAATTTAACTGAATTTCTCTGCGTGAAAATTGTAGCATTCAGAGGTCATTTAATAAAGGGAATTACGGGCTCGATGCAACGCCATGCCACGTCAGCTCGACTGCTGTGTCAACGTAAGAAACCAGGGTAAAAATAGATCATTTTAGAGTGATTTACTTGTCCTTATCAGTCATAAGCTACTTATCTTTTCTGGAATTGAGTTAAAACTGCTCCCAGGCATTTTAGACAAGGATCCTGATATAAAGTGTGGAATAAGAGATAATAATAGGAAGATGTGCTGGCTTGAGGGTTTCTTAAACAGAGATTTGATGAGCTGGAGGAGTCTGGAGACATCCGGCTTTCATCCAGGCGAATAATGCATCTTTTCTTTCTTCCTTTCATTTGGGATCGAGGCTTGATTCTGTTCTAGGCCCTGGGAATACAAAGGAGGTGGAGATAAACACGAATAGGCAACGGGGACACCTCCCTCCCTGTTCTTCTGGAACTTGGGGCCCAGGGCAGGGCAAGGAGTGGGGAGTGCTATGACGGGGTGGATGGGTGGCCTGCAGAGGGGCCCGTGTGCTGGCACTGGGTGAAGCACTGGGGGCGTGGGCACTGCTCTGGACAGGCTCAGAGTCAAAGTGACCAACAGCATATGGGGTCCAGCTGACTACACCCAGTCCTGGGAGCGAGGCCCACAGAAAGGCCTGCAAACAGGGTGGGCTTTAGAAATGGGAAGGGAGCCCAGTGGGGGAGTGGACAGCCACAGAGGTGGACATGCGCAGAGCGTGTCGAGGGGCTGGGAGAATGCTGGGTGACTCTAGCAGGGACTGGTTTAGGGGTTGGTGAGGATGTGGGAGGCCACTTTCTGCGGGTGATGGGGCCCTTTTGGGCGAGCGTCTGAGCAGGGAGCTGCCCGGGCAGAGCGGCAGGCTGCCTGGCTTCGTGCGCATCACGGCAACGGTTGGTTCCAGCTCAGGAAACGTAAGCCTGGCCAGGTGGAAGGCTCGCCCCTGCTCGCCATCTGTTGAAGAAGGGTCATGTAAGTGCCACCTGGCTTCCTGGGGGGGTGGGGAGATAGCATCTGGGAGGCAGAGAGCGCTGCCCTGGGGGAAGATGCTTGATTGGGCTGATCATGATTTATTCAGCAGCATCAGACACCTGCAGGCTGGGGCCAGTGCTGGTCCTGGCCTTGCTCCAGGACACATTCTGGGTGCACACACCTGTCTCTTTGGATGACCTGGGCATGGGGGGTGTGGGACGGAGGCCAGCCCAGCGGGAGCAACCTCTTCCATCTTTAGCTGGGCGGTGGTGGGGATGTGTTCAGCTCACCTGGTGGTGAGCACTGCCTGCTGCAAGGGTCCCCGTGTCAACGCCCTTCCTTCAGGAGCTCTGCTTCTAGGCTCGCCATTGTGTGACGCTGTCTCCTAGTAATCCCAGACAGAACCCACCGCCGCCAACACCCGGCAGAGCCCTTTCACGCTGCATGTTGCATGTGTGTGCTTGTGCCCACGTGTGTGCGTACATGTGCATGCTGTGTGCTTGCAACCTGGAGGGGTGCCGTGTTTTCATACATCCCAACTAGCTTTACAGTAACATAGACTGTGTGATAGTCAATAGTCACTGGTAAAGGATAACTGGTATTTGCAGGCCACATCATAACTTGGCCAGAACCTGCTCGCATCCATGTTCTCCGTGTGGGTCTCACCATAATCTGAGCGGGAGGGAAGGCAGGTAGCAGGTGGCCCAGAAGAAGGTACCAGCTAGTTAATGGCGGAACAACAAGAAGCCAAACCTCCTTGACCTCAGGTTCACAGTGTCACTTGAAGAGACAAAGATTGCTCCTTATCTGCCCTTAGAACAATGGCAGATACTTCTCTGGGCTGTCCTGGCAGTTTTTAAAGCTGCTAATTTGATAATTTTGTTTAAAAATGTGCTTTTATTTGGATAACAGCTTATTATAGCAATCTGGGAATCAGTAGCCGGTTAGTGTTAAGATTAGCCACCTAAGGTTGATATTAGCCAGAGTTTGAATTTTCACCATGTACAACAAACCCCAACACTGTTTCCCTGTGACGTCCCAACCTCTTTGGGTATGTGACCATGAAGGCTTGAGACTCGCCACAGCCAGGCCTCTCCCTAGCCGAGCGGGGCCACTCAGTTTCCCGAATGACAATAAATATATATACATATGTATTTAAAGCAGGCCCTAAGCTAAGCACTTTGCAGGCATGATCTCAGTGAATCCTGACAACAAACCTATATAAAGTGGATATCAGTATTACTCCCGTTTTGCAGACAAGGAGACTGAGGTTCAGAAAGGCTTGGTGATGTACTTACAGTTACAGCAGCAGGAAGTGGTGGTGTTGAGATCCACACCCAGGCTGTCTGTCCCCAGCACCCAGGAGAGTCACCATTAGGCGTTCCTGCCTCCCTCTGCTCCAGCGTCTCTGCCACAGCGGGGCTTCTCCTCCACTGCCAGGACCCCACAGGAGGACCATGGACTTGGACAGTAGATGGAGAGAGAGGGTGAGCCCTGACTTGGGCAGCAGTGGCTGCCCAAGGCCAGGGCAATGGGGCGACTAGCCCATCCTGACTGCTCTCTCCAGCTTCTCTTTATAATCCTTAATTATGAACTAACAGCGGTTCCCAAGTCGGGGAGAGAGGGAAGGGTGGCAGAGCGAATGTCCAGATGGCCCTGCTGGCGAGCTTGGGCATCAGCTGGTCTTTATGTAAGAGTTGCTTCGCTTCCCAGATTGCCTTCGAGGCAGACGTTGAAACACTTGTTTTGTGTTTATGATACAGAGGAAGAAATTAAAAGGCCTCCAGGGGAAAAAGAGGAAGAGGGAAAAAAAGAAAAAAAAACAACAGGAGCGACTCTGGGGGCTTGTCAGGCAAGGTGGAGAGAGAAAAACCAGGCCTCGGACTGGTTTCAAGATTACGACGAGCAGGTGGCTTCCCTGGGCATGGGTGGTGAGATCCAGGATTCCACGAGCATAAGCAGGGAGGAGTGTGAGTGTCCTTCTGGTGACCAAACAGGGCAAGCGACGCTGATGACTGAGGGCCTGCCGTGTGCAAAGTACTGTGCTGACTTTACAGGCTCTCTCTAATTCTCTCAACATCTCTGTTTTATAGAACAGGGAAACTGAGGTTTGCGAAGGTTTGTCTCTCTCCCTCATGAGCTTTCTTGCTTTTTCTTGAACACAACAAGCACAGGCCTGCCTCAGAGCATCTGTACTTGCTGTTCCCTCTGTCTGGAACGCTTTTCCCACAGATGTCCACCTGGCTTGCCATCCTTGCCTTATTCTGTTGAAATACACTTCCCTGACCACCTGTCTACAGTAGCTCCCCATAACGTTTTCTCACACCTGGCCCGTGTCATTTTTCTTCATAGCACTAGTCACTACTTGACTTTTTAATATATTAATATATATTTGCTATATTATAGTTATTATATTCTATCCTATTTAATAACTATTGAGTATCCCCCTCTCCCCTCTACAACATCAGCTCCTTGAGAGCGGGACTTTTGTCTGTGTGGTTCACCACTCTCCCCCCTATCAGCTAGAACAGTGCCTGACACATAGTAGGTGCTTACATATATTTCTGTTTACTGAATGGATGAGAACCTGTGATGTACCAGTCCCTACTCTGGATGTTGAGAATACACACAAGATTAAAACTGTCTCCTGCTCTTAGGGAACTCAGAGAGACAAAGTGGGTAACCACAATGGAATGGTGGGCCAAGGTGGGTGCCCAAGAAAGATGGTTCTCTTAGCCTTCGTGGCAGAGCCTACTAGATGACCCTGAGATATCAGTGATCCTCTTTTTCCTTAATAACAGAACCTCAAATTTAGCTGGAGATGAGGTCACTCACTGAGAATAAAAACCAGTTTTCCCAGCTTCCCTTGCAGCCCAGCATGGCTATGTGACTCAGTTGTGGCCTATTTCCAGGAAGTATCCTTAGCGGAAGGAGGTGCACACTTCTCTACCCCTTCCTCTGCTTAATAGTGAAGTGATTGCTAGCCTTGAGCCGCCATCTTGGACCACGAGGAGGAGGCCATACCCCAGGGATGGTGGAACAGAAAGATGGAAGAAGCCTGAATGTCTGACCGTGTGAAACATCAGTTCCCTTATCCCCAGAATTAATTTAGCTGAGTGAAAAATAAACTCTCTTGTTTAATTCGGTCTTGTTTTGGGTTTTCTGTGGTTTCCAGTTGAATAATCCCAATCCTAATGGATACAGCTTTGGATGGAAAGAGGAGAAAGTGCCTGGGAGACTTGTTTCCCCACACAGAGTGAGATGGCCCCATTGCCTGTCAAAGAGGCAGAAGTTGTGGCTGTTATGTGTCTGGCTGTGGAACAGGACAGGATCCTTTGGCCTTGTGGGTAAATGAGCTATGGTAGCATTCATTTGCTCTCCACTCATTCATTTACCTTCCCATTCGCTTATTCCATTGACCCACCAATGACTGGTAGAGTTCATTCACTCATCTATTCCTTTATAAAGCATTCTATGAAGCAGGTTCCCATAGGGCTGGGGTTTGAGTTCGAAGGACAGGAAACAGTTTCCAATTGAAGCTCCTCCTGGATTTAGGGAGCAGGGCATTGGGGTCCAGGCCCCCCACTGCCGTCTGAGACAGAGCAGGCCTGGCTTGTTCACCAGGCCTCAGCCCTGACTAGAGGCACCTCTGAGAAGCAGTCACATCCTGGGTTGCAGGAGCGTGCAGTTCCTGGTGGA